TTGCTTCTATGTTACATTCTTTCCTCAGTCTGGGCTACCTTTTCACTCTTTTTTAAAAAAAATATATTTTCTTTGTATGCAGATTTCCAGTTTTTTAGCATCACATGCCTGTTTTATTTCTTTATTTGGCTGTGACAGATCTTAGTTGGGGCTTGCGGGATCTCTTGTTGCGGCTCACGGGCTTAGTTTCCCCGAGGCACATGGGATCTAGTTCCCCAACCAGGGATCAAACCTGCCTCCCTGCACTGGAAGCCAGATGTTTAACCACTGGACCACCAAGGGAAGTCCCTGGGCTGCCTTTTCACCCTTAACGGTGGCAGATGCCTGAGGACCAGGAGGGAGAATCAACGTTGATCAGAGGCTGGGCTGGCCTCACTGCTTGGCACCCAACCCAAGATCGCAGAGCCAGCCCTGCCTTGGACTTCGTCTTGTGAGAAAAGTCACTAGTATTGTGAGTTCTCTTGCTGAAGGCTTCAGGAGGGACAGGAGTCTGCCTGTCCCTGAGCCACATGAATGCGACTGAGGTGTTGGATGCGATGCGGACCCAGGTACCCATCTACACCACGTCCTGCACACACACTTCATCAGGTCTCCTGTGACTCTGCCCCTTGTGAGTGTCATCAAGGTACGTCTCTTCAGGGCCTTTGTCGTCTGTTTGACACACACAGGGAGCTTGTGTGTGGGGCATGCAGGTTGAGAGGGTTCTCCTTTGGGGCTTCTTTTCTCTGGGAGAAGGACGTGACTCAGGTAAGATGCGTCTGATGAGCACGTAGAACTCTGGAGACTGCTAAGCCCCCGGTGGCCTTCTCGTGGCCTTGGCTCCTGTTACCACCTCCAGGCTTTGTGGGGTGAGCTCATTTTCCAGGCTCAAAGGGGCACACAGCTTGCTCAGGGTGATGGAGCCAGGATCAGGGTTGCCCACCTGGGGGAGGAGGAAGGGTCAGGCAGTGGCTGTGGGTTGGAGAGTGACTGAGTGTGGTCCAGGCTGGTGGAGAGGCTGCTCTGGGGAGTTGGGTGCAGGGACCCAGGCTGGGGTCTGCAATCATTGCAGGGGGACATGAAGGGGCCAGAGAGGCCAGGTTGGGTTGGGGTGTAGAGAGAGGAGTGCGCATGGAGGGACGGAGGGGGAGCCTGGGCTGGGGTGTGCCAGCGTCTGGTGGAAGCAGCCTGGAAAGGATGCACCCCACGCGGCTCCACCCGGATTGAGTGAGCAGTGGCTCCACTTCCGCCTCGGGGGTCTGAAGAAGCATCTCCGGAGGGGGACGCCCAGCCTGGGCCCATGCAGGGTCGCGGGGGTCTCTGAGGCCGGACTTGGTGGCGCTGGCGTGGGTGCCCGCAAGTCTCGAGGGATGGTCGGGCCGCCCTTTCTTCCCGTGGGTTTCTCTGGGCTCAGACCCGCGCGTCGTCCCGCAGCCCTGCGCGGCAGAGAGAGATTCTGGGCCCGCCCATGCCAGTCACATCCCCTCACTGGGCCGGCGCTGGGCCGTGGCGTTTGTCCATCTGCCCGGCTCTAAGGGCGAAGTCCAAGATGGGCCAAAACTGGGTGCAGCTTGGACTGCCCTGGGGTCCGCGGAGCCGGGCGGCCGGGGCGGGACTAAGGCCGGAGGGGGCCCCGGGGCGACGGCGGCGCTGGTGGGGGGCGTGCTGCTCATCGGCGCGGTGCTCGCGGGGAACTCGCTCGTGTGCATGAGCGTGGCGGCCGAGCGGGCCCTGCAGACGCCCACCAACTACTTCATCGTGAGTCTGGCGGCCGCCGACCTGCTCCTCGCGCTGCTGGTGCTGCCTCTCTTCGTCTACTCCGAGGTGAGCCCGCGTCGCCCCCGCGCGCTCACCCTCACCCGCTCCGGGTCCCCGGTCCCGGCCACACGGAGGACCGAGCCAGACCCCGCCGCTTGGCTTCTCGGGATCCTGGAGCTGGGCGCTGTGCGGTTCCCAGGACGACCGGAGCCGGGTCCCCGCTGCACCTCACTCCCTTCCTCCATCCCGCTGTCCGTCTGTCCGCTCTGCGGTCCGTCAGCCCTCCCACTCTGTCCCTCTCTCCGCTTGGCCTTCTCTGTTACCCAAGAGATGCTTCTGTCCTTTAAGCGCAGACCCCAGTAACAGGCGGCTTTGGCAGTCCAGCCCCCCACCCAGCCCCCTCCGCTGCGTTCCAGTCCCCCAGGGGGAGCCAGCTGGATAGACTGGCAGAGGCAGGCTTACCCCACACCGGCTCCCCTGGGGCAGAGACACAGAGGTCACCCCACGAGGCCACAGCCACACAGAACCACACGTGCTCTCACATGAGCACGACCCGGGCAGGACACCCTCACTCCTGCGCCGAGCGGCAACAGGAGGGACCCTTAGCTTCCAGGAGGTGCAGGGCAGTGAGCCTGGCTGGAGGAAGGGAACCACCCCCCCCACCCCCCGGGCCGGGGAAGGACCTTTCCCAGAACCTGGGTCCGAGAACCGCCACACCCAGGTCAGGTCTGGCCCTCGGGTGGGTCCCCCTTGGTGCCAGCCATGTCCACTCTGCCGTTTGGGCAGAGAAAAGCTGCTTAGGCTGAGTTGGGGACGCAGTGTCCCGGGCTGTGGGGGGAGGGGAGGCATGGTTTTCTAAGGTCGACGGTGAGTCCAGGCAGCGCTGGGCAGAGGCCAGCAGGACAGGGACAGGCATGACCTACTGCCCCCCCACCCGAGCTGTAGACAGACGTCACAGTGACGGCTCTTAAGCTCCTAATCGTCCCAAGTCAGCAGGAGGGGATTTAGAAGGGGCGGCTGTCTGCTCCTTTGCCCTTGATGGGGGCGCTGGGCACAGGGCTGAGGCTGGTACTTCCTAACAATGATGTGGGTGCTACCTTTGCCCTCACTTCAAGCGTGCAGGGACGAGAGTGGGATGACCTGTCCAGCGTCCCAGAGACAGAGTTTCAGCAGACAGGCCAAATGCGCGTCTGCTGGAGAGGGGGATGGGTGCTGGGCTCACGCTCTAGGGCATCAAGGTCCCCACCTGCAGAGAGGAGCCGCGCGCACGCTGAGCCCCACAGCATCAGGGATCACAGCTCGCCCTTGCCTACGCCCCCAAGAGCCCCCTCCAACCCGTAGGCGTTTCCCAGTTCTAACAGGAAGGATGGGAGGTCTCTTGGCTCTGGCCTGAGGGGAGGGGAGGACCGCCCAGCTTCCCCGGAGCATTCCTGCTCTGGCTCCGCTGATATTCAGCTCCCTCGCTGCCCGCAATAGCCGGGGTCAGGAAGACATCTCGGGGGCGGGACGGGGGAAGGTCAACTTCCCGCGACTACTGTTGCTGCGGCCCCTCCCCGCGCTCAGGTGCAGGGCGGCGTGTGGCTGCTGAGCCCCGGCCTCTGCGACGCGCTCATGGCCATGGACGTCATGCTGTGCACGGCTTCCATATTCAACCTGTGCGCCATCAGCGTAGACAGGTAGGCCGCCCCGTCCCGCCACCCTCACCGCGCTCCCCGAGGGTTCGTGGCCATGGCCGTCCCGCCCCGCCGCCCTCACTGCGCTCCCCGAGGGTTCGTGGCCGTGGCCGCCCCGCCCCGCCGCCCTCACCGCGCTCCCCGCAGGTTCGTGGCCGTGGCCGTGCCCCTGCGCTACAACCGCCAGAGCCGCGGCGGCCGGCAGCTGCTGCTCATCGGCGCCACGTGGCTGCTGTCGGCGGCGGTGGCGGCGCCCGTGCTGTTCGGCCTCAACGACGCGCGCGGCCGCGACCCCTCCGTGTGCCGCCTGGAGGACCGCGACTACGTGGTCTACTCGTCTGTGTGCTCCTTCTTCCTGCCCTGCCCGCTCATGCTGCTGCTGTACTGGGCCACGTTCCGCGGCCTGCGGCGCTGGGAGGCAGCCCGCCGCGCCAAGCTGCACGGCCGTGCGCCCCGCCGACCCAGCGGCCCCGGCCCGCCCGCCCCGGCCGCCAACCCGGCCGCCGACGCCGCCCCCGCCCCCGATCTCGGCCCGACCCCCGACGCCATCCCCGCCCCGGACGCTGTCGCACCCCCGGACCCCATTGCGGCCGAACCGCCGCCTCAGGCCCGCAGAAGGAGACGTGCCAAGATCACAGGCCGGGAGCGCAAAGCTATGAGGGTCCTGCCGGTGGTGGTCGGTGGGTACCGTCCCCGGGGGGCGCGGCGGAGGGGAGGGGGCGGTTCGCTGGGCGGGGGGCGTGGCGGTGACCCCGCCCCGCCCCGCCCCGCCCCTAGGGGCCTTCCTGCTCTGCTGGACGCCCTTCTTCGTGGTGCACATCACGCGGGCGCTGTGTCCCGCGTGCGCCGTGTCCCCGCGGCTGGTCAGCGCGGTCACCTGGCTGGGTTACGTCAACAGCGCCCTCAACCCCGTCATCTACACCATCTTCAACGCCGAGTTCCGCACCGTCTTTCGCAAGGCTCTGCGCCTCTGCTGCTGACAGAGCGCCGGCGCGGCCTCCCCTGGCCGGGACCGCCTGGCCTGGGGCTTTGTAGGAGTAATTAAACAGATCCCGGGTCACCTGCTGGGAAGGCTTTGGGGGGGCGAGGAGGAGGCACCCCCACTGGCTCCCATCTGGTCAGTTAACCCTTTCCTTCCTTCGAGGAAGGTCCTGGCTGAGCCCTGGGCTGGGCAGTGGGACAACACGGAGGTGCATGCCCGGGAACAGGGGTGCCCGTGACCTGGGAAGGCTGCCTGGGTTCACACCTTCCTCTGAGAGCTGCCCTCCCCCACGCACCTCCACCCGACTCTGCTCCCGGGCCAGCAGCCTCCTCCCCTGTCCTGGTGGCCCGTCTGCCAGCCCTGCCCCCCCTTTGGCAGCCCCCTCAAGGTCAGAACGCAGCTCCTGGCCTGCCCACCGAGGCCTGAAGCCCAGGAGAGGGGCCAGGGGGCTGGGTGGGCTCAGGGAGGGCCAAGCACGCACCTGCAAGGCGCTCAGCCATCCTCTGCCCAGGTGGCCAGGCCCAGGGCCAGAGCAGCCAGCTACCCGCCCCCCGCCACGGCGTGACCCCCCGTAACCCGAGGCAGCCCCTCCTGGACTTCACCTGGGCCCTCTCGGTCCCCGGCCGTGGACGCCACGCCGCTCCCCAGTGCTGTGTGTGGCTGAGCGCTCTGGTCAGGGACACTGACCACTGAGCCGGCCACAATTGGGTGCCAAGTCCTTCTCTGGAAGGAGCTCCTGTGGGCTGTGAGGTAACAGCATCAGGCCCAACCTCAGGATGCTAAGCTATTCCATGGAAAGAGGGACCACCCGTTCCCTCTGTGGGTGAGCACCCTTTCCTTCTCAAGGGCTCAGCTGCCGCCTCCTCCAAGAAGCCTCCCCTGACCACCTGCAGGGCCAGCCTGTCCATATCACCCTGGGAGAGACTTGCTCTCAGGGAGCCGAGCACTGAGGGACGGGGGCCCATACAGGATGCTGTGTGCCTGCACCACATGGGCTGACACGGAGGGAGAGGGGCCCTGGGTGGGACCCCGGCCCTGGTGGCTGCTCGAGCCTCCAGCAGCTCCTCCCCTTTGAAGCAAGAGGACAGCCACAGCACGTACCCTGGGTCTCTTCCAGGAGGAGCCCCAGTGCCCAGGGAGGGTCTCCCAAACCCGGGGGAGCCCCAGTGCCCGGGGAGGGTCTCCCAAACCCGGGGGGAGCCCCAGTGCCCGGGGAGGGTCTCCCAAACCCGGGGGGAGCCCCAGTGCCCGGGGAGGGTCTCCCAAACCCGGGGGGAGCCCCAGTGCCCGGGGAGGGTCTCCCAAACCCGGGGGGAGCCCCAGTGCCCGGGGAGGGTCTCCCAAACCCGGGGGGAGCCCCAGTGCCCGGGGAGGGTCTCCCAAACCCGGGGGGAGCCCCAATGCCCGGGGAGGGTCCTCTAAGCCCAGAGAGGAGCCCAAATACCCAGAAAGGGCCCCAGATGGTAACAACCGAGCCTGGGCAGGATACCTGCTCCAGAGCTGGGCTGGTGATCCCTCTGAGAACCTCAGACTTGAAGTGAAGACCAGGGAGGGACCCACTGGGCTAACGGCAAGGTCAGGGTCAGAGTCAGGGTCAGGACTGGAGCAGGGGCCCTGACTGTGGCCGCTGGCCCTGCCGTGGCTCCACGTCCTGCAGGTCCACATGCCACACCCGTGCCCTGAAGCCCATCTCTGCCGTATACCCGTTGGGCTTTCTGTGGTCACTTCCGGGGGCCGGAGCTAGTTTCTGCTGCTGCCGAGGATCTGCGCCGGCAGCAGCCACACCGTGTGGACGCTGGCTGCTCTGCCCACCCCCAGGGTCTGCATGGAGAGAGGCCACGCCCCTGGCTCCTCTCCTGTGCTGGGGACGGGGCGCCCGCGTTCCTGACAGGCCAGACCAGTAAGTGCACCTCTCGTGGGGGCGGGGACGTGGATGCACTAGAGCCTGCTGCTATCCCCGGGCTGTCCCCACTGGTCCTGTGCGCAGACTCCAAGCGGGGGACAAGCTGGAAGAGGGGGACAAGGCCGGGGGAAGGGACACGGTGGGCCAGGGAGGGACAAGCTGGAAAGGGAGGGCAAGCTGAGCAGGGGAGGGGCATGGCGGAGACGGCAGACAGGTGGGCCGGGAGGGACAGGTGCAGATGCCAGAGTCTGGCCAACCCGGGGGCCCACCAGGTGCCTCGAGGGCCCCAGCACTGGGCAGGCCCACTGATGCCGCGCGTCTCTGCGCCTCAGCAGAGGACCAGCACCGAGGCCACTGCGCTGCGCTGACAGAAGCCGACCCTGCCCTGTCTCTGGGGGCTGCGTCTGGCAGGAGATGCAGTCAGAAGGCAACGCCGTTGGAAGCGCTGACACAGAACTGAGGGTGTAACCCATGCTTGGCACCCGGACAATTTCTGGAAACCTCCTGACGTCCAGCGTGACCCAGAGCCAGCTTCACAGGCTTAGAAAGCATACATTTTGGAAAGTGCCCCCAAAACACATGGTCCCCATGCTTCCGTCCTGAGGAGAAGCTGCCCCTATCCCAGGAGACCCTTGCCCAGGATGGCCTCCCTGCAGGGTCTGGTCCAGAGATCTCTGCACTGCTTGCAGGGGGCCCCTGGCCGGAGCCGGACATCAGGAAAGGACCTGGCACCCTTTGCCTGTGGGCTTCATGCCCACCTCAGTCACCGCTTTAGCCTTTTCATGTTTGGGGGGACTCCTTCCAGGTACAGCCATCCCCAGTCCTCTTAAGCACTGCAAACCCCAGGAGGCCGGGCCTGGCCTTCCCTGAGGCGGTGGAGGTGTGAAGACCAGCTGAATAAAACCCGAATAAACCCACTTAAGTCTGCAGAGGCCGAGCAGAGCTCTGGCAGACTTCTGGGGACAGGGCCCTCTCCCGCAGCCAGGCTAGGTGTGGGGGCGGGCCCTGGGGCTCCTGGGCTCACAGCCTCCTCCCTCGGGCCTCCAGCCACCCCTGGGCTCACCCGCAGCCAGCGGCACCCCCGGAGGCCATGTGCGATGGACTGAGAACCTTCTGGAAGCAGGAGCCGGGAGATGAACGTGGCAGAACCGTGCAGGGGGCAAGCGTCGGGGTCAGTGACTGGGGCAGAGCCTCCACCTCCTCAGTGCAGAGAAGGCGAGGCACCACAGACCCAGGGCTCCCCCAGAACTGGCACCGGGCATAGATGGGCCAGGCTCGGGAACCCGCGGGGACCAGGCCCAGGCTGCCACCTTGCTGGGTGGGACAGCTGGGCTGGGGCAGGAGCCACTCTGGGCAGGTCCCCAGCGGCCCGGCGTACTCTTGCAGAGGAGGGCCTAGGGAAGGCCAGGGCACCTCATCACTGCTGAGCCTGGACAGTGGGGCGTGGTCTTCCTGGCTGGCAGCTCTGGGACCCCTGCCGGGCAGGGCCCTTCCATTCAAGGCTTCTGAGCTGCGCGAAGAACAGCTCCACGGGAGGTCAGGGCTGGAGTCGCCTGTCCGGGTGGGACAGGGGTGTCGACTTTATTGACAAGACACATATATGTACACGCGTGTTACAGAACACGACACACCCGTAGGGAAGACTGGACGCTCATGATCCAAGGGATTAAAAAAAGCACCATGAGCATCGGGGGCTCAGGCCGTGTCCACCAGCAGCCACGGAGAAGCCAGTGCCCGCCCCCCGGAGCTCAGCAGCGGGAGCGTGCTGCCAAGGGCGCCGGTCGCCCGACGTCCACTCCTAACTTGGCCAGCAAGTTCCTCCTTGTCCTCAGAGGGCCCTGTCCTCCAAGGTCCTTCCTGGCCGCAGAGGCGCCACGAGCCCTCACACAGTGACCTTCTCGATCACGGCCTCGCCGACGTGGACGTCATCCCCCTGGGCAGTGACAGCTGCAGACTGACCACACATGTGCTGGTGGTCCTTCCAGTCCTGCAAAGAAGGACAGACCGAGTAACGGTTCTGTGAGTGGTCGCCCACCCGAGGCGTGTGGGAGCCAGCATTCCCGGGCAGGGGGTGCCCAGCCTCGACCCCCCTATTTAAGGAACCCGCTCAGAGACAGCCTGGATGACCCTGGAAACATGTCCACACTCTGATCTGGCGGCTTCCTCCCTGGGATCAAGGAAACATAATCATACCTGCAAAGAAATACTTGTATCTGATATTGCTGCCCGCCGTGTTATTTACAATTGCCCAAGTGAGACCACTCAGCATGTCCACAGAGGGGCTGGGTGACCGTGGCCCCCAGGAGGTCGGGGAAGACGGCCCACACCTGCCATCAGGGTAGGAGATGCCGCCCCCGCTCACAGGCTCTGGAGGCCTGACAGGGTGTGGTTAGTGGAGACAAGGACCCCGAACACACAAGAGGCTAGGGTTCAGTGAAGCGTAAGACGTGAAGGAGCACCACACACGTGGAGGAGCAGAGGCTGGGCGGCCCCGGGAGTGGGCTCCAGCTGCTTCCGTGTTTTCTACAATAAGTGTGCCTTATTTTTACAATAAAAAGGTGAAATTTTAAATCATTACAGGCATACCTGGGAGATAGCATAGGTTCATCTCCAGAACAAAGCGAATGTCACAGCAGAGCCAGCCGCACGGGCTCAGCCATCCCGGCTTGTTTGAGCTACGTTTACGCTGCACTGTGGCCTGTTCAGTGTCCATGGACTGAGCTCAAAAAACACTCTACTCCTGAAAATGCTGACCATCGCCTGACAGTGCATGGAGGCCACAGACCTCTCATTTGTAAAAACACAGTTATCTGAGAGGTGTAAAAAAGCAAGGTCTGCCTGTGTATCGAAAAAATAAACGAAATTTTGTGAAGTATAGTGGACTTACAATGTTAATTTCTGCTGTACGGCAAAGTGATTGTTAAACACGTATTTTTTCTTTTACATATTCTTTCCCATTATTATCTATCATAGGATATTGAATACAGTCCCTGTGATATGCGACAGGAGCTTGTTTTTCTCCATCCTCGTTTTCACTGCACCCCCCTTTGCCCCACCCTCCTTGGCAGCCACACGTCTGTCCTCTGTGTCTGTGAGTCTGCTTCTGTTTTGTAAGCGAGTTCACTTGTATCACTTTCTAGGTCCCACATGAGTGATATGATGCTTGTCTTCCTGTCTGATTCACTCACTTCGTCTGATGAGCTCTGTGTTTGTCCACGTTGCTGCAAACGGTGTGATCCCACTCTTGTTTATGGCTAACATTCCATTGTGCACATGCACCACCACATCGTTATCCATTCCTCTGCTGATGGACACTTAGCTTGCTTCCATGTCTTGGCTATTGTAGATACTGTTGCTGTGATCACTAGGGTACATTTATCTTTTCAAATTAGAATTTTGTCTGGATATATGTTCAGGATTGCTGGATCATACAGTAACTCTAATTTTATCAAATTAAGGAAACCTCATGCTGTTTTGCATTGTGGCTACACCAATTTACATTCCCACGAACAGTGTGGGAGGGTTCCATTTTCTCCACATCTTCTTCAGCATTTGCTGTTTTCAGACTCAAATAAATTTTTAATTTGAAAATTACCTGACTATGTAAATCTATATAGTATGTAAAACAATGCATGTTGGGCTCAAGTCCACAATGTTTCACACTATACATAAAAATTAGCTCAAGATGGATCATAAATCTTAACACAAGAACTACAGGGAGTTCCCGATGGCGCAGAGGTTAGGATCTGGCACCTTCGCTGCCGTGCCCAGGGTTCACCCCTGGTTGGGGGACTGAGATGCAGTAAGCTGTGCATGTGGTGCAGCCTCCAAAATAATAATAAGTTAAAATAAAAATTCAAAAGACTCAATAGTATAAATGTTTTAGGAAAAAATAGATTTCCCTGACCTTGAGTCAGGCAAAGTTTCTGAGATACTATACCAACAGTGTGATCTCCATTAAAAACATTTTTAATAAACTGGGCTTCTTGGGACTTCCCGGCCATTCAGTGGTTAGGACTCCACACTCCCACTGCAGGGGACATGGGTTCAATCCCTGGTTGGGGAACTAAGATCCCATAAGCTGCATGGCATGGCCAAAAATAAGAAAGAATGAAAATAAAAAATTTTTTAAAGCTGGGCTTCAAATTTGTATCCAGACTGCACAGAGACGTCTCCACACTTGATAAGGAGAAGAACAATCCCATTTAAAAATGGGCAAAAGATTTGAATAGACATTTCTGCCCAAAGGATATTCAACTACCCAAAAAGCACACACAAAGCTGCTCCACATCATCAGTCATCAGGGAGACGCAAACTAAATCCACCGACGGCCCTGCACGCCCAGTGGCAGCAAGGCTACAACCAGAGGGCAGGAGCGAGCGCTGTGGATGGGACGGACTCGCACTGCTGGCCAAGCTGAGTTTCCTAACAGTCACACACAGGTCTGCCCAAGTGTACATGTGAATGTAGCCCAGACAAGCACCTGCCCTCCGGGGAGCCCCTCATCAGTGTCCACCGACACTCAGACAGGGGGTCCATCCAGGTGTCCGTCGGCTGGCGGCCGGAGCACAGGCGAGGCCCGGCCCGGCCACCCCAGGCACCACGCCCGGGCCCCACAGGGTGGACCTGAAAGCACGCTGGGCGGGGAGCCGGATACAGGAGACCACACGCGGCACGACTCCCGCCACAGCAAGCGTGCAGAGGGTGAAGCGACAGAGGAAGAGGCTCCTGGTCTCCAGTGCCCAGGGGCATCGGCCTGAGGGAGCTTTTGGGGGTGATGGGAGGTCCTAAAACTGAGTTGTGATGTTTTCAAAACTGTAAACTTACTATAAATCATTGAATTGTGCACTTAAAATTAGTGAATTTTATGGTATGTAAATTCTACCTCCTTCAGTGAAGGTATCTCACACACACACACACACACACACACACACACACACACACACACTCACCCACTCAAACGGGATTTGGAGAAAAATAGAGTCTGCACCTCAAAGTGGAACAGGTCATGGCCGGTCCCACTCTAGAAAGGGAAGCAACAGCAAGCACCCCCAGGTCTCTGGGGAGCACAAAGGGTGGGCGGAGCCTCACTGCAGAAGGCAGGCGGGAGCCTCACTGCAGAGGGGGGGCCAGAGCCTCACTGCCAGCACCACCGTTTATCACAAGGACCTGCGGGTCCTACCGAGTGTTCATTTTTGATTGCACGTGAGAATCAGGGTTTTTGAAATTCACTGTACATTGATTTTTGCAAATAAAGCCAAAGCCTATGCCTTTATCAGGACAGCATGTTGAAAGAGGACAAATCTAACATAGTCAATGGAAGCAATGGAGTCTTCGTCTACAAAGTTATACCCAAAACTTAAGTGCCCAATTCAATAACAGTGAAGATGCTTTTAGTCAAGATGGTATCTGGCTAACATGATTGCATCAAGAAATAAACCCACGAATCTTTCTGGGATGGTTCAAAGTCAGGGACGCCAGCAGTCAGCTGCCCTCTGGGATCACAAGCTGTCTCCTCCTGGCAGTCCAAGCTCCCCGCAGTGACCCAAGCACAGCAGGCAAGCAGGCGCCCTGTCCTCATTGCCCAACCCACTGGTGAGACCAGGGAGAAGCAAACACGTGGGTCTCTTCCCCAAGTGTCCAGCCCGACACACAGGCAGGGCCCGGGAGCAAGCTGGGAGCCATGGACATGCTTTCCATGCTGTGCTGACCTCCTCAGCACCCCCTGCAGCCCTGAGATGCGGAGGAGGAAGGTCCCACACACCCTGGTCGTGGAGTCATCCCTGCCCACCTCTCGCTGGAGGGCGTCTAAGGACAGGAGCTGTGGGCACCACAGAAGCTGTGTCCACCCAGGCGGCTCCAGGTCCCAGGCAGCCCGGGCAACGCAAAGGACGACATATGTCACTGCTTGTCCACCCATCACGTTACCTTCTTTCACTGTGAAAAATTTCCAGGAGAGGTGAACCCTACAGGCCCCCAGCCCACTGCTCGGCCTCGCACTCTGAGTAAGAGCCAGAAAACCGGCAAC